CACCACCACCATCACCACCACCAACACCAACACCACCATCACCACCACCAACACCAACACCACCACCAACACCACCACCACCATCACCACCACCAACACCAACACCACCAGGTTTCTCTGGCCTCTTCTTTCTTGTCTCAAAGACTTTGCACTTGCTGATCCCTTTGCTCAGGAGGCTTTTCCTCCAGGTAGCCAGGTGACTCACTCCCTCACCTTCAAGCCTGCTCAACTGTTCCTTCTCAGGGAAGCCTTCCCTGCCATACATGTCCTAAATTGACAGTTGCTGTCAGCGTATCCACCACCCGTTTGGTCAGTCTGTCATGTTGCTGGGCTGACGGAAGCTATGCCATAGGTATTGAAACACCGTCCACAGTGGTCAGGTTTCAGCAGAGCTTCCAGACTAAGACACAGTAGGAAAAAAGGTCTGGAAATGTACTTCCAAAAATTCGTCAATGAAAACCCTCTAGCTCACATCAGAATAGCATCTTATATAATGCTGGAAGACAAGCACCACATTGGAAGGCACTTAGGATACACAGTGGCCGGAACCAAGGACGTGAGCAGACCAGTGACCATGACGATGATGCTGTCCATGGGGCCACCATGAGTGGGAGCCGACTTGATGATACCACTACCCTGTACACCTTTTCCATCACTTCTACTGTCTCTCTATAGCTTTTCGGTCCAGTGTTCAGTTCTCTGTGTCGTTACTTGTTTGTTCATTGTCTGCCGGAGTCCACTAGAATGCCAGCTTCACAGGGCAGAATTTTCCATCTGTTTTGTTCCCCAGGTCCCATAATGGTGCCTGTACATACTTGCTGTTAAGTCAGCATATCGACCCTATGTAGGGTTTCTGAGGCTGTAAATCTTCACTGCAGTAGAAAGCCTCGAAGTTCTTCCATGGAACAGTGGATGGACTTGAACTTCTGATCTTACGATTGATAGTCCAGTGCCTCTCCAACACCAGCCAGAACATACTCTATTGTTGTTGTTAAGTGCTGTCAAGTTGCTTCTGACTCATAGCAAACCTTGTATGGGGTTTTCAAGGAGCAGCTGGTGGATTTGAAGCACCGACCTTGTGGCTTAAACCAACCCAGCGGTCCAGTGCGTATCCTCCAGTACCACACCAGGATTCCAGATCAGACTAATGTTCAGTAAATATTTATTGAATGATTGACTGAAGCCCCAGAGCTCACGTCTAAGTCATGGAGTGACTTAGGAGTTCCACCAGCAATATCTTCTCATCACCCTTTCCACCCTGAGGACCCCACAAGACCCCACACAGCCAAGGTCACCCACAGCAGCACAGCCTGAAGGTCCAAATTGGGTCTCTTCTCCTCCTGGGTCCACCAGCCTGACAGGCTCTCCAAGGAATCTGGCCCAAACCCCTCCCTCTACTAGGTCCCCAGCCTCTGGCCCTTGCTTGTCTTGCCCCTGGTGCCAATTCCTGGTGACACTGCGCTACTGGTCTCTTGGGGGCCCCAGTGAGAACACCTGGGGAAAGCTGGAAGAAAGTCTCCAAGTTCTTGAAAGAAAGCACTTCTTGCTTTCCTGAAACAGATCCAACTTGGCCCTCTCCTTTGCCACAGATGCAGAGGCAGAGAGGTTTGGGGGATGCTGAGCAACTGGCTGGGTGCCTCTTGGCACCCATGGTATATGAAAGGGGAGACTGGCAATCGCTAGGGCTGAGTCAGCTGCCCAGTGATGGAAGGTCATACTTTGGACACCTTGTCAAAGAGTATCTAAGGGCTGGGTGTTGAGGGTGCGGCATGACCTATGGAGACGTGTCCAGGCTGAAGAGACAAAAGACCTGGGTTCAGCACTTTCAGCAGCTGGCTCCAGCCCTCGGGGAAAAGGAGAGTTCTGAAATTCTCCAGGTCTTCTGTTTGCTACCATCCTGTCTGCCTTATTAAGATAGGGATTCGATCCTATAGTTTGTACAGAACGTTGCCAGGTTAAAAACACTTATATACATTATAAGAAAGTCTTTCTTATATACATTATAAGAAAGGTCTCACTTAAACCTCACAGAATCCCAAAGAGAATGTAGATAAGGCTTCTTATTTTTCCCCCTATAAAAGGAAACAGGGTCAAGAGACGCAAAGTGAGCTATTCAAGGTCACACAGCTCACAAGCGGTAATGAGTCTCTAGCCACGCTGCAGGGATCCGAACCCTGTGTTCTTTCCTTACTGCTAAGGATGTCAACACTCTCTTAGTCCTAGGCGTTAGATTCTAGCAGCCTCCCCACAAAGTAGCAACTGTGAGGAATGCCTGAAACTTCACGCTCATGGCGGAGATAATGATCATCCTAGATGTCTACAGCACATTACAGTTTACAAAGCACTTCCTTGTTCTTGATCTCATTTGCTTCTCACATACTTGACTCTGGCAGAGATTAGTATTGTGACATTGGGCTGGTCAGTTTCCTTCTCTAGGTGCCGTTTTCTCCTCTGTACAATGAGGGAGATGGACTAAGTTGTTGTTGTTGTTGTAATCAGCTCTAATTCATAACAACCCTGAATAGCGTTTCTGAGGAGCAGCTGATGAGTTTGAACTGCTGACCTTGCAGTTCAAAGCAACCTTGAGGTCGAGTGCTTATCTTGCAGCACCACACCAGGACTCCTAGATTAGAGGGTTACAATGTGTGGACAAGGTGTGGTCATGGCGGCAGGCCTCAAGGCTCTTCCCTCTCAGTTTCAACCAACCGTAGCATGTCTACATTGATGTATTTTATTTGATGCATCCCATTCCATAAAATGCTTCCACAAGGGATTTAAGAGCCAAAGTTTAAAAGCCACTGGATTAACAGCCCAGTGAGGGCCCCTCCTGGTCTTTCTGGGTTTCTGAGGCTCACTTTGATCCTATGAAGTGGACAGAGCAGGTGTCTCCTACCCAAGACCATGGCTGAAGAGCCACATACAGAGTCCAACCTTGGCACCTCCCTGCCCCTTGGAACTCCTGGAACACTTATACCATCCCTTGGGGCTAACTCCCAGTGGAAGATGGGAGGTCATGGCCTCCCTGCATCTCCCTAAACCTGCTTGGTCACCCTGAGCATGTAGAGTGGTGCCACAAGGTCCCTGTGAACATGGCTTCTTCCTTGAGGAACTGGGTAGGGTGCTAGCTTCAGGGCCCCTCTAAAGACATGATGGGGTGAGGTTCCTAGGCTGGGTCAAACACTTCCATCTGTTGTAGAATGAGCAGTGCCGTAGGGACTGCTCCAAACCTACACTACAGCCTAGGCAGAATCCCTCCACTGGTATGTTAGACTTGAAGTCCAACCAACAGCTCTTGGGTCAGAGCTCTGACAACTCATGGTGCAAGCCCAGGGAAGAGAGGGCCAGGAGCAGTGCATGGGGTTGCTGTCCCTTCCCTCTACCACGCTGCCCTTGGCAGGGTGTGCAGGACTGATATTCAAAGCCTCTCACACAAGATAGCCAGCCCCCCTTCCTGTTTGGTTCCTCACCGTCCCCTGACTATGCCTTGCTCTTTTCAGCGTCTGCGACTTTGCTCAGCTGCAGCTGCCCTTACCCCTGGGGAAGGCTCTTCCCACTGCAATCGCAGCCTGCTCCCCACCTTCCTGTTCCTCCCCGTGAAGCCTGCCCTGACTGCCCCAGCCGGATGTGACCTTCTCTCTGGACACCCGCCGTGTTTTGTGCCTCTCTCCTCCTGCCGAGGGCACAGTTGTTTGTGTCCCTGTGTCACTTCCCTCATTAAAACATATGCTTCTTGAGCACAGGAGGCCTGCACATGTATCTTTGTATTTGCTCCGCTGAGAGCACTGCTTGGCACAGAGTTGGTGCTCAACAAAGGTCTTGCTTTTACACCCAATGCAGTGAACGAGTGAAGAGAAATAATCACGCTGCTGTCAGTAGGTGCGGAGAGTCAGTTCCAACTTACAGCACCCATGCACAACACAACACAACAACACAACCGTTCTCATCACTGGCGTGCTGTGTCCATTCCTGTGGTCACTGCAAATTGTCTTCCAACCTAGGGGGTTCATCTTCTAGCACCATATTGAACAGTTCCCTGTTGTGGTCATAAGGTTTCAATGGCTAAGGTGGTGGGAAATAATCGTGAGTAGCATGAACAGTGCATATACCATGTGCCCAACATTACTCTAAGCACTTTACACCCATTATCTCGTTTCATCCTAGGATGTAGGGCCTATTAGCACCCCCATTTTACAGATGTGGAGACTGAGGTAGAGAGGATC